CACATCATCATTATCATCTAGATTAATTATCACAATTACCATATTATAAAACTTACCACAACTGTTAAAAGTACCTTCCTTATGAACATTATTATTATCCCTCAGATTCATCAGATACACCAAGCGCACTAAATCACCATCTTTTAGGAGAAAGATGTTTTAACTCACTTCCTTCGCTTCGGAGTCGGTGCCAAGAGGGTTTTTTTTAGGTTGTCGTGAAGATTTTTTGGAAGCAATAATGTTTTTTTTATTATTATTATTTTATTTACTTATTTGTTTTATTTATTTATTTATTTATTATTATTTTTTGGCGCAGCTATGGTTGTCGAAAAGACTTGGACAAGGTAATGGGTGTTACTTTTTTTTTTGGGGGGGGGGCTGTGAGTCTCGAAAAAAATGGATGCAATAATTGGTGTCGTAAGTTTTCGGATGCAGCTATAAATGTCGAAAAGTTTATGGACGCAATAATGGGTGTTTTTTATGCAGCTTTGAGTGTCGAAATTATTTTTGGGGGGACGCAATAATAGGTGTTGTAATTTTTTGGACGCAGCCATGTACCGAGAAGATTTCTGGATGCAATAACGAGTGTGGTCATTTCTTTGGATGCAGCTATGAGTGTCTTATTTTTTTATTTTTTTTTTGGGGGGGGGGATCCAGTTATGAGTGTCGGAAAGATTTATGGACGCAAGTATTGGCGTCGTAATATTTTTGATGCAGCTATGCCTGTCGAAAAGATTTCCGGACGCAATAATGGGTGTTAAATATTTATGGATGCAGCTGTGTGTCGAACAGACTTTTGAACACAATAATGGGTGTCTTAAATTTCTGAAGTGCAGCTATGAGTGTCGAAAAGATTTCTGTAATAGGTGTCGTATTTTTTGGATGCACGTATTGATGCCCAAAACATTATCTTTAGGTGAAATGGGGAAATTTATTCGGAGGTGAATTCCATATCACGGTATTGAATAGTCTACAATTTTCTATAGATGGCAGGCACTAATACTTACGTTTTGTTTGTTGAGTACTGCTATATAGTTATATTCAAGAATAAATATGTTATGTTATACCTAAAACCACCCTCCAAATGGATATACTATTGGATGATTAATTTTTGTGCCGTTGAGAAAATTATATTATTTCAGCAAATGTCGTTGTAGGAATAATATTCAGAAGTTTGCATTGAGGATAAACAAATCATGTTATTGCAGTTAATTTCGTTGTACAAAGACGTTTATATCGTTTATATCGAAATCAATGCGTCGCGTATCTTCAAATCCTGTGTTTCGTTGCTTTATAAAGCTACTTCTGACAAGTTAAAACGTACAGATCTTTGAATTGTTATAAGGGACGAAGAGGCATAGCATAAACACTTCAGTTTCGATTCTTACTGTTAAAAAATTAATATATTTTATATGGCTTATTCTTTTGAAATAAGCGGAGACGTCACTTCCTTCTATTGAAAACTTAAGAATGATGAATAGATCACATTTCTTTCTGAACATCCATTTCATTAATGCCTCAGCAGAAAGTGTAGTCAGGTCAAGTCACTACCTACCTACACTTCCTAGATTACCTGTATCCGGCTTTCCTTTAAATAAAAAAACTATCTAAAAGAAATTCTGATTGTCAGGATATTGCTCAGATTTTTTTTGTATGAGAAGCTAAGGCGAGGAGAGTGAATTTAATAATCTAGAAAACTACTAGCCTGGACGGTTTGTAAAATGTGGAAGAAAGTCGGGTTCCACTTCCAGACAAAACAGAATCCTTATGAGTATGGGGAAACATTAGTCAGCCAAAGCAATTACCAATTGGAAGAGCCGGTGGGGATGCAGGTCACTGCCGTCAGAAAAAAAAGGCTATCTTGCTTGCAGGCCAATTAAGGTGCTGTTATTTCATCATGTTACTCGCCTGCATTCCTTATAACTGCAATAAGCTCCCATAAGCGTGTGCTTGATAGCACCTAAAAACCACTCAATACACTTTAATCTATGCAAGTTGAAATGGATAGAACGCGCATGAAGTACCATAGTGTGCAGACAAATAGTGATGTTTGAATGTTGATAGTGAAACGTAGATATGATTACGTTTGATGCATTGAGTCTAGGGAAATCATATATTATGGCACATTAATTTACGTTTAATTGGATTTGCTATGTATTTAATGTATCGCGGTAGGTTAATTTGCAACTTACATATGATGTGATTAAATATTCATAGTACATTTTGATAACCGTATTCCTTCCGAGCCACGCCATGTTGTAGGTACGTATTGGGTTACTTGTAAAAAATATCATTTTCCATTGTTAACTGCAAATGTCCAAATGTGGTGCTAGAAGAATGTAGTAGCACGTTGGACACGCCTCTCGCATTGGGTTTCGCAGATCTTGTCTGTAGCGCTCGCTGTCATTCCTGTTGCCCTTCCCCGACCACCTTCCGAATTCTAAAGGCGCTGACCTCATTGGGCTTAAACTAGTAACTCTGGAAGGTGAGGTCTAGGCTG